ATCATAGTTGTCTCAGTTGTTGGTTTTCTGATTCTTATCATTTGCAGCTGCATCTGCTTCTTTTTCTGGTTGAGGAAATCAAAGAAGAGAAGGCAGTCAGTGAATGAAATTGAATGTAAGTTACTTTCTTGGTCAATAAATTCTCGTTTCCACATAGCCTAGGATAGCTAATGATAACCTAATTAAGAAAGAAGAAAACATATTGCAGCTTTGCAAGTAATCTTCTTATAACCTTGGTAACTGAAAAGTGGAAGCACAAATTAGCTTAATAACTCTTCAAGCATATTGACTTTAAAAGTTCGAGCTTGAATTTATGAGTAGTGGTGTTGTCCTTTTTCATCTCAGTTTGGGCTAACATACATTCCCTTTTTTTTTTTTCCTATGAAGATAAAGATGAAGATGAAGATAAAGATGAAGATGACAATGCTGAAGCTTTACAATTTGACTTCAATACAATAAGAATTGCAACTGATAACTTCTCCAGCATGAACAAACTTGGAGAAGGTGGATTTGGTGCTGTTTATAAGGTACTTACAAATTGAAGAGGTGGAAATTATTATTCTAAATTGATGAGTTCATTATTATTCCTAAACTGTTTCAGGGCACGCTTCAAAGTGGAAAAGATATAGCTGTGAAGCGGCTTTCGAGAAATTCTGTTCAAGGAGAGCTGCAATTTAAGAATGAAGTTAGGCTATTGGCAAGACTTCAACATAGGAATTTGGTTAGGCTACTAGGTTTTTGCTTGGATGGAAATGAAAGGCTTCTGATCTATCAGTTTGTTCCTAACTTAAGCCTTGACTGCTTCATATTTGGTATGGTTGCAAACCTTTTTCAAGAAATGATTGAATATTTTGTTTCAAATAGCATGCTTTTAAACCTCTTAATTTGGTGAATTGTAGATCCAATCAAGCGATTACAACTTGATTGGGACATAAGATACAGAATCATAGGGGCAATTGCAAGAGGAATTCTTTACCTTCATGAAGATTCTCAATATCGAATTATTCATCGTGATTTAAAAGCTGCCAACATTCTGTTAGATAAAGAAATGAACCCTAAAATTTCAGACTTTGGGCTAGCAAGGTTATTTGCAAATGATCAAAGTCAAGCTGATACAGGAAGAGTTGTTGGAACATTGTAAGTATAGACATATTTTGAAACAAATTGGTGCTACTATTTTTGTGTTGTCCAAAATACAGCACTACTTACAACTACTCACCGTCATGTATTCAGGGGATATATGGCTCAGAGTACACAAGGAATGGGCATTTTTCAGCTAAGTCTGATGTTTATAGCTTCGGGGTGCTAGTTTTGGAGATCATCAGTGGGCAAAAAATCCATTCATACATTGGGGAAGATGGGGATGATCTTCTAACTCATGTAAGTTTCTTTCTTATGTTCTATGAGTGAGTCGAACAAACATGCTAAGAAATTGAGGAATTGTGTAATTTGTAACTTAAACTATCCATACATTGTTAAATCTTTTTCTTTCAGGCATGGAAACTTTGGATGGAAGGGACTGCTCTGGAATTGATAGATCCCATTTTGAGAGATGGATCGAGTGGTGAAATGATGAGATGTATCCAGATAGGCTTATTATGTGTTCAGGAAAATGTTGCTAAAAGACCAACCATAGCTTCTGTTGTTCTCATGCTTGGTAGCAGTTCTGGATCTTTTCCAATTCCCTCAAAACCAGCATATTTTATGCACTCTATCATGGAGTCAGATGCATCTTCAGGAGCACCTGTTCAATTCACAGTGAACAATGTTTCAATTTCGGAGTTAGATCCTAGATAGGAGCTATATGTATCTTTTCAGTGCTTAACTGTATGCTTCCTATTCTCTCAAGACTTGAAAGTATATAATTCTGCTTATAGTATGGTAATTTTTCTTCATTTTGACGGTTGACTGAATCTCACAATTAGCCAGCTCTCAAATTAAAGAAGATGCATAAAGAAGATCTAATGATTTGCATTCAGAAAGTGGAGAAACTGTTTTAATAAATAATGGAGAAATTGAGAGCAAGTTGGAAATTTCTCTGGGTTAGTGGACACTTGCTGGCTGCCCCCAATTTCTCTACTTTCAAATAATAAATTTATTATGTTGGTTAAGAAAAACAGAGAAATTGAGTGCAGCGGGCAGGCGCAGTTTATCATGTGGTTTATTTGACTACATCAAGTTGACAAAAGAAAAGTAATGATTTTGACCAAATTTTGTTGAACTCATGAATTATTTTCCAAAAAAATTATCTTCTAGAAGCACAAAAGTAAAGGTGAAGTTATTATATATATAGGATAATAGGTGATATAATAAGATATAATTTTTTATTTTTTTAAATACTTTTTCACCTATTTTAAAATTTTAATTTGAAAATTTTAATATAAAAATTCAAAATTTTAATCATTAAGATATTTCTATGAGACATAGAGATAAAGTTATTATTCAAAGAGATTTATTTATTTATTTATTTTATTGAAAATGGTTTTTATTTAAGGTGAGTTAAATTTCAAAATATTAGTCTATAAAAGAAGAAGATAAAAATATCATTAATAAATATTTATTTATCCCTTATTTATTGAAGATATTTTTATCTTTGCTTACTTTACATTGATGTTTTAAAGTTGTTACAATTTGAATTAAATTATATAATACTAATTATTAAATAATAGGTAGATCTAGTAATATTAAAAAATTGAATAATGATAGGGACAACAAAAATTTAAGATAAAAATTCAAAATCAATGACATGATTTGTGTCAAATTATTAAATTAGTTGGTATATATAATATTACAAGTCTCAACAAAATCTAAAAATCTCAATTATTAAATAATAGAAAATTTATTTTTTAATATTTTAAATAACACTACTTATAACACATTATTGATTCTAGATTTTAATTCTAAATTTTCATTTCATTTATCATTGTTTTAAAAATCTTCCCCTATTTAATCATTCCTATTTTACAGCTTTTTATTTAGCATTGCACAAGTGGTGTTGGACTAATGCAATTTTCCTTAATTCTCCTTCGAAAAAGAAAATCAGTTATTAGGAACACAATTATTATGCCCTTAACCTTCTATATAATTTTCAATTATGTCCCTAATCTTTTATCTTATTTTTTAAAATTTTAGTTTTGGTTCCAATCGTACTGAGGAAGAAGTTACCTTTACCTTTTCATTTTATTTCAAGCTAGAAAAATTCTCAGAAAGCTTATCCTTTATTCATTTTCTTAGTTTAATTGTTTTAATCTACAATCCATCGTCTGATTCCGGCAACCTGCTTTCCACCCAAATCTTCCCCACTTGCAGTCAATATACCGGAAAAGGTTGCCACCGTCGAGCGCACAATGTGTTTGATATAATGTCTCAACGACAAAGTACACTTCCTTTTTGAAGTTTTTACATTTCCTGCTACACTTTGAGATTCGGGATAAAGCCAACCATCTTGCTCTATGATCTTTATGATGGGTTCAAGGAAATCCTCAAAATTCAAAAGTTTCGCAGACTTGTTTCCTACACTGGGTTCTTCTACTTCACTGCTTTTATAAGGTACGCTTATACTAGCAACACGTACGTCAAATACAACTCTAAACTTTTGTCGGGTAAAATTGCTTCTGAGGTTCTGGGGAATCTGAAAATGCATCTGGGTTTTTTATGTTTCTGTTGTTTTTGGTACTGTGATATGGTGGATTGAGTCTTATTGTTCCTTTTTATTTGGAATTATGATGGTAGGATGCTTTAGGTTTCTGTTGCTTTCCTTTTGGTATTGCAGAACTAGAGCTGGGTATTCGAGAGCTGACCAATTCTATGCATAATGCATCTTATCCGGCTGGAACTGAGCTTTTAACGGACACAGCTAAGGTATTTTTTTTGTTTTGGCACTTGTATACTTGGGTTCTCAACGTGGATTATCTACTTGATTGGTGTTTGTTTAACTTTGGGCTTGGATGTGATATTTGTGGTTTTGTTCTATCGTAGTTGTATAAAGCAGCACTTAGTAATTGCTTTGAGGCAGAAAGAGTGGGGTCTGATAGAATTCTGCATCATGGCTAAACACTTTGGCTCATTTTGTACTTAGTGATCTCATTTATATTTATTGATCATGGAAGTGATCTCATTTATCTAGCATGTGAGATTATGGTGTTCTCTTTGGATTTTTAAGCTTAATTAGGTCAAATATTACATTGTCTGATTGATTAGTGGGGACTTGTAGAAATTCAGAGCAAATAAAGAAAATTGGTTCATAAGATCTCAGCCGCTGTAGAGAAGTTGTGCCATTTACCTTTTGTTGCGGTATTCATTCTCCGAGCAACATATTGTGCCTCCAACTACTAAGCAATAGAAATAGAAACCATTACCACATTTTGGTTTCAATGAGGAGTCAAGCAGGACTTGATTAATTGATCTCTTTAATGAGATATTGATAATTTCATTTGATACTTAAAAAGGTTTTTTCATTTCTAATTTTGTTACTGGACATGGTTCAAAAAATTAAGCTGCAAAAGGTTGTTGAGCATTATTCATATCAGAATTTAAATAATACCAATGCCATGCTTGAATTGCTTTGGTCTGTGAAATTGTTATACATGCTTTGGATGTTAGATGTTTGGTGGTACACAAATCTTGCAATGGTTCACTTTTTGGGGAGCAGTCGCTAAGAAATAAATGCTTTATAAGAAAGATATTGGAGTTTCAACCCACCAAATTAGTGTGTTTTATGGCAGGAAATAAAATGTTGAACTTGATGCACATAGGCTGCTTTACTGATTCTAGATCACAACCTTTTTGTTGTTTTTTATTTGCTGTATGAATACCGTAACTCTTATACTTGCTGAACTCATTAGCTAATCCCAAGTACTAGTTTGGTGTTGGTGTTTATTAATTTGTGTTTTCTACAATTCTGGAATGTGATGCTTAGTTTCTCTACATTCTTTTCTTCCTTTCCTTTGTGCTTTTCTCTGTAAATATCAAGTTGCTTTTATATACATAGTCTGGAAGGTTATCTCTTACGTGCCATTAGAGTTGCCTGGAACTGAAAATTTGAAACAAGAAAACCTTCAACCTCCAGTGCACTCATGTCACGCATAATACTTTGACTATGTGTTTGTCAAATATCACCCACCTTTCCCACATTTTATTTTGATTATTTTTTTCACAAATTCCTTATTGCATTTGAATTTTGACACAGAAGGAAAAGATCCCATTTATCACTGAAGGAATTAGATTGTCGTTGTTTGTTCTCTTTCTTTATTGCCTCATTTATGCATTTGCATGTGCTTTAACGATTTTGCAGTTCCTTTAGGAACTTTATATGAGAAGTTGGAGGGTTTAGCTTGTTGATAACTGAGATTTCTTTTGCTCTCATGGCCTCTAATTTACGACTAATTAATTTATTTTCTTGCAGCAAAGCAATACATGGCATGGCGCACCTCCTTTCCCAAGGTCAACTTGACTGAAGTGGCTAAAAGGAGCAAAAGACCAAACAAGAGGGATCCATTGCTGAAGGATCAATTATTTTAAAATAACTAAAAATATTTAAATATTTAATATATTTTTAATTATTCAAAAAAATAAAAATAAAAATAAAACTACAAATATGAATCGTGTGACTTTAATTTTATTAATTTATATTTTATTTGATGCTTTAATAATTAATTTTTTAAGAAA